TCCCGGTCTCGGCGGCTGCTGTAGTCTACAGGACCCCAAGATGTCAGAACAACTGGAGCTTCTTGCTCGGGTTTTACTGGGAGACGAAAAGCAGGAACGCTTTGTCCTCCTTTAGCTCCCGGGTAATTCCTCGCGTTTGAGCAAGCTGATAGTCGCTGAACTCATCTAAAAGCAAGCTGAAGAAAATAAGCCTTTCACCGTCTTTTGTAAAAGCAGAGTTACTGCCATCCTTTTCTAGTACTTAGGCAGTGATTTAACTGGCTTAGTCATTCTTCAAAGCTACGTTTGAACGTTTTGAAGGGCACGAGGAAGGCGACGAGCTGGGCCAGTGCACGTGTGCTTTACCTGCTACGGATCAGAAAGTAGAAGTGAAGTAAACAGTAAAAGGCTGTTTTCACCTGTGACTTGGGGAATTTTGTACTTTATTGATTCGGATTTGTCGTTTGGTGACGTGTGGGAGAGGAGCTGCTTTTAGTGTGATTGAAAAGAAGGATTGGCAGGAACACTTAGAGAGTGAAATCGATCTTACAGTAAAAACATATTACGGTTCAATTCACCCTTTTTAAATAGAGGAGGGTTATCTGTACTGACAGTTCCTGAAGCAATTTTTTTTCCCCACAAATTACACGCCTGCTGGTTTGCTGGTAGCAATTATGTTAGCAGCCTTTTTTGCTTTTAACTGTCTCAATAAAATGAGGATTTTATTTGCAATTACTGCTCCATGGTAGCAGCTGTAGTTGCCACACAGATGCCACTTCTACTGTAAAACTAAGAGTAAAGGAGATATTCCTCAAAATCCTGGGCGAGGCCCTGGCAGTTTTTGATAGGTTCTTAACAAAGATACAGAACTCTAGTCCTACTTGTTTTTTGTCTTCAGTGCTGAGGTGATGATTAAATGATGACTGTGTGTGTCTAGCTACAGCTCAGCCACAGACCAGGATTCTGCTGTCTCTGTTCTTCAAACCAGGATGTGTGTGGCGAGGGGGCTGCGTGGTTCCCCTCTCCCAGGAGCTGATAGGAAGCAAGCTGCACTGCAAGGTGCTAATAGGGAAAAGAAGATCGTAGGCTATGGTCTCCTTAGCTCGTTAGTAAATTCACTTGCACGTGCTCCTTTTTAAGATTTGAAAAGAGGATGAGTTATGCAATGCTGTCTCCTGCTAAACAGGATATCGGCACATCATCAGCCGGTTTTCAAGATTTTTATAGGCATCACAGCAAAAATTTTCAAGGCAGAGAGTGAATTTAGAGATGGATGGCTTTGCATATGCCAAAGGAAAGCTCTCATCAACCGGAGGGACAGCAAAGGAACAAACACGATGTGCTTCGTCATTTATTTTATAAGGTGATGACGGAGGAAAAGCTTCATGGGCTGATTAGGGAAAAGAGTCAGCCCTTCTGGCTGTCTGGTTCAGTATGAAGAGGTTGAGGTTGTGAAGGGCTTTGAGAGCAAAGATAATTGAGATGGAGGAAGAGAGTCAGAGAAAGGGTTACTGTGGCCAGGGTGGCAAGCTAAAAATACGTTCTTTGCAGCTGCATTTTGAGTAGGGCAGAGTTGAGCGGGTTTGTAGGGTAAAAAGCGATTGCAAAACTGAACTGCAAGTCTGGTGCAAGTCTGAACGAGGGCCCTAGGTCCAAGGGAACGCTGCCTGGGAGACAGTTGAAGTACCTGGTTGAGGAAGTATTTAGGTGTTGGGCCTGAGAGAAGTAGTGGGGAGAGGGTTAAGATTTTAGCTTTGCTTTACTTTGAGGGGAGGGCACAGGTGTCTAATTTAGATGGTTCTGAACACTGACCTTGAAAACCTACTTCTTCAAGCACCACCGCTTACCCCAGCTCCTGTGAAGTTTCACACATGCGTGTTTCTCTTTTGGCTTTTCTCTGGCAGATATTTTGTGAAGGTGGCTTGGGCATGGACATTCTGGCTTCTGCTGCCCTTCATCGCGGTCACCACCTACCAGTTTGCCGAGAGCAAGTTCCTCTACGGTCCCACGAAGAGCATTTTGATGGTGCTGCGGCGTCTCAGTGCACTGCTCGTGGGCACTGCCGTCTGGTATGTCTGCACCGGACTCTTCATGTATATCGAGAATCTCACCGGCATGTGCTCTACCTCGGGTAAACTCGGCGAGCCTCGCCGGCTGTATGCCACCAAGCAGGAGTGCCACCAGGACAACGGGATCTGGGATAGTTTTGATATCTCAGGGCACTGTTTTCTGCTCTCATACTGTGCTCTGATGATTGTGGAAGAAGTGGCTGTGCTGGAAGGCTTGTCCATAGACCAGAACTCTAAGCTGCATGTTGTGATCAACGGCCTGTTTGTTTCCTTGTGTTTTCTCACCATGATCTGGGTGTTCATGTTTCTCTGTACTGCCGTGTATTTCCATAACTTCAGCCAAAAGCTTCTCGGTGTGCTGATAGGTCTGTCAGCTTGGTACGGAACATACAGATTTTGGTACCTGAAACCCTTTTCTCCTGGACTACCTCTTCCAAATATACCTTTGAGTTCAAAGAAATACAGTTACAGCAGATAAAATAAGTTTTAAAATTTCTGGATTTGGCTTTCAGTACTGGAGTAGTTGAATGTAGGAATGATTACTGTATTTCCACTGTAAGGAGCAAGGTGATGGGCTGGAGGAAACCAAATCTGTACTGGCCGATGGCTGGCAGGTGGTAATGAGCTTCTTCCTTGGGAGAAAAGAAATCGGTATTGGAAGAGGTCTGCTCTTGTTTAGGAGCTGCTGACTGGCATTCTCAGCAAAGAAATCGGAAGTTGGGTCTGTTTCTTTTACTAGTAAGTGGAGGAGCAGATCCAAGGCTGACAAAGGCCTTTGCTCTTTAAGAGCTTGACTGATCTCAAATTAATTCTCCCTCTTTCTTTTTGATTTATTTATGTCAAAATACCATGGATGATCCAAACATCATACTTCTTTTTTTTAATGCTCCTATTTGTACTGCCTTACAGAAAGCTCTAATAATGGCAGTGCTGCTAAGTGTTGCAAAAATACCAATACTCGCTAAAGCAGTACATAGCTCTGTTGTGAAACTAGAACATCTCGTGTTATCAAGTGTTAAATACACTAACTTGCCACAAATGCACCACAAAGGTGCTGTCTGCACCTTCTGCAACAAAGAGAGTAAATCTGAGATGTGATGTCTTAAGCAGACTGTGACTTTAAATTCATGCCTGCCTTTGAAAAGGAAACTCTTGAAAAACAAGCCTTAACTTTCTCCTTAGGTGAAGTATCTGTAGTATTATTCTGTCATTTTATTCTTGACAGAAAAAGACACTCCTTCCAATTTTGCTAAAAAGTGTAATATGTGAATTGGGGTTTTAATTTTTTTTAAATCTTACGAGTTGCGCACTTTGCAACAACGACTACTTCGTGGTATGTTTCTTCTAGAAGAACAATGAAATTCTGGTGTTAGGAACAAGTTAGCTTAACCTGCTATTTCCCGAATACTCTGCTTGGTAATGAATGAAAAACATTGTTTATCCTAAGAGCTGCAAAGCAGTGTGCTTGAAGCAATATTTATTCTTGCTTCTCTGGCAATATCAATAAGCTACTTAATTTTGATTGCACATAAAGCTGTGGCCACTTTTGATGTGGCTGGAAACCCACTACTGAATAAAACACTACTATGATATGATGAATAGGTATGAGGTGGGATGGGTTTAATCGTAATATCAATCAGACATTTAGCATAGTTTTTATCTTGAAAAGCTTTTTATTGTTTCATAAAGGCTTATTCATGACGCAATTGCATGGAATTTGGTTGACAACGTTGTAGTGATGTAGCAACTGTAGCAAGTTTGGCTGTAGCAAGACAGCCAAAAAGGTCTGTGGGCAAGGCTGTAGATGGTGTCTGCTAATCTGAGAGCGGACTTCATCTGCCTGTAGCGTTTGACTCCAAGGTGATTTATTTTGCTGAATACAGGGTATGATGCACCGTAGTCTAATCTTGGCACATTTCTTTTTGCCACCTCACAGCTCGCTTCCAGCCAGAGAGCGGTAGCATTTGCAATAAATACAGCAGTGTTAATTCCACGCTTACGGTCTGCCTCTGAGGAGAGCTGAATGCATCTGAATTTCCACGAAGTTCAGTGGCAAGTGGGAGCAGTTGTCTGTCCTTAGAAAGTACAAATCCTCTCTCAGAAAGAAGCTGTTTCAGGAGGTTATGTATCTTCTGTCCGGCTCTTCCTTTTGTTTTTGCATTAAATTGGAATCTGGAAAATTTGCACTGATTGACTCATATTGGGTTTAACTAAATTTGTTTAAACAATGCAAATTCATTTGCAGACATTCTTTTGATGTAACGTAAGCCTGCTCCCAAAAGGGTTTAAGCTAGACCGCAAGCCGCTTTCACCATGAAAAAGGATTATATACCCAGAAGGTTTTCTGATTAATTTCATTAAATCTAAGTTTCTATTTTAGGTTATCTTTATGTAACTTTGCTATATATACAAAGCCTTGGAACAGGAAATGCTATTTATTTAAACCAACTGACTTGCTGAAATAATGTTCAGTTTCACAAATGTTTTGTGCAATCGCTATACGGATATTTTTGTCCACTTCTAATCAGTGTCATACAAACTTTTTATTATGGAAATAATGTGGGATATGATTATTCTTAAAACTTTTATTTAAACAATGAAAGAAAAACACTTAAACTTCATCAGTGTGTGTGTCTCTGAGAATCTGTTTCTGATGTCTGTAAAGATACTGCTGCTGCTCTTCGCTTCCCTGAATGATCCAGCCTCCCAGTATGTTTGTGATGACTGAGATGCATGATCAAACTGACTTTGATAATTCTGCAGTATTGGAGTGGGTTAATATAGCACAGGTTCTCAAAAGCACAGGGTATAAAAAGAAACAAAACCAAAAAAAGCCATGCCTGACAAAAGCAAGGTTCCTAACGTGTGCCTGTTACACCAGGCAGTTGATTTTGTAGGCATGGACAGTTGCTTATTGTAGCAAAGTGAAAGCCTAATCCATGGAAATGTATGGGAGAATTCCTGTGGGCTGTAACACTGCTTACGAGTTTGGAAATCTGGGCGTGCGCGTCTTTCTCAGTACCCGGAGACCACGTGCCAACTGTTGGCTTAGAAGGTTCCCTTGTGCTCCAGACCTTTTCTTTGCTCTTTGTGACTCTTTCAGAGTAAGTCTTTGCTTCCTCGCACCTTAACTGGAAACTGAAGGTTGCGAATTTTCTCTTCACATATTTGCCATCGCCTTTCTCTGACTGACTTCCCTCTCCCAAATACACTTTTATCATTAAAATAAAGATGCAGCCTCTCTACGACAGATTTGCAGCCAGAGAGACACGGTGCTGTGAGTAGCTGGATTTGATGTCTAAAAGCACAAATCAGCTGTCAACAGGTATTATTAATTTGTTTCAAGTTTTTTAAGAAAGTGTAACATTTTAAAGATAAATTTTCATATTCTGTAGTGAATTCCAAAAGACAGCAACTGTAATCACAAGAAACACTTGGTCTTTTTCCTTTTTTTTTCCCTCTCCCTGCTTTTCTGCATTAAAGTATTCCTCTTGTTCCTGCAGAGCTGTCTTTCTGTGTCCGTAGAATTATCTAGGGAATTTTTGTCTCTGCCATCTCACTAGCGTATTGCTTATTTCAAGGTGTTTGCTAATGTTTCATTGCCTGTGTTTGTCTAGCCTATTTTGTGGGCTCTGCATGGCAGTACTTTCACAGGAGCAGCGTTTGGCCTGACTGATGTGGCTGAGGTGGTTCTTGGTCTTGGTGCCTTAAACGTTTTCCTCTGCTGGGGCCGGCAGGGAAGGGAGTCTCAGCTGCAACACAGCGAGAAGATTAACTGGATTAGGGTTCATTTCACTCTTCACTTACCTGGGACTCTTTCAAATGTTTGCGTCACTGGAGGCAAGATCAGGCAAACAGGAAAGTTTAGATCTTTCGTAAGAGCCATCTGAACAGTTCAGACTTTAAACTTATCTGAACCCGGGGTTTGGTTCTTCCTCAAAGTCTTTGTTCAAAGCAAACCACTTCACTGGTGCAAAATGGTATTCTTGGTTTGCCAGTTTATTTGTGTGTACTGAAACTTGGGTCACGGAGCGGCTGCAAAAAAGAATCCTGTTTTCTGTTTCGATGCGTGGCAATTCGTGACAAAGCGCGAAACACCCAGTTACGCCCTATGGTGTGTTTTAATGGGAAAAACTGTAGGGGCTGCTGTGATACATTAAATGTTTTGGAAAATCGAGCTTTAGTTGTGAACACAAGTCTCTGGTCACTTTTCTTAGTGAAATAATACCTGTTTTTTTCACTGTAGCTTAAAGTAGATCCCCGCAGCTTCTCTGCGATTGACCTTTTCCAGCTCTTTGCCTTTGATCAGCCTGTGTTTTTCTCTGCTCAGAAACGTGTTTCCTGGGATTATTTCTTTTCATAGCTTCATCTCGCTTCCTGGAGCGCAGATTAGTAATAAATGCTCTTTACCTCTGCTAGATGCATGCTCGCTCTCTGTTTTGTCTTCCCCTCTTTTAAGTATTTTGCCAAAGCTTAAGATGAAAGTAATTAATACTAGCAACAAAGGCTGTTGTGACTCTGAACTCATAATTAACTGTTGTTAAAAGGAGTTGGTCTGTCACTGTAATGGTGTTCACCTGGAAAAAAGCACATGCTTAATTTATTGAAGCAGAACTACGCCTGATGTGCTTGAACTCACGGAAGGGAAGAGAAGGTACCGTGACCGTGCCACTTGGTGCATCGGTAGAGTTAGCTTTGTCCTTTTCTTGGGGAGCACGCACTGCGTTTCTGTAAGGAGTAGTTTCACCCAGGTGTTCAGTAGGAAATTGTTAATTCATTTGAATGTGGGAAGGGTACTTCAGTGCTTAAACGAAGTACACAATGGGAACATAGAGGTTACAAGTTGGGAAAGCAGAAATGGAAACGACTATCAGGATTGAGTGCAGTCCCTGAAATTTCAGGCAATTATGTAGCAATACTTAGTCTGAAAGATTATTTATTTTTAAACTACCCTCTGTCCATCACAAAACACAGGCAATGCCACGTGCCTTGTAACAAGCTGAGTAACTTCTCTCTAAAGCTTTGGAACTATAACATGGCACAGAAAATAAGCAGTAGGTGAAGAGCTTTACCAGCCTTTCAGGAGAGTTGAGTATCAAGGGAAAGAAGTACTTAGAAAAATGCCCTTTCTCAATCGTGCTTTTCCTGACAATGTATCCAAGGTAGGAGATCTGCAGTTGTACTGTGTATCTCTAGTGGAGTAAGGCTGAAGAAAGGAAAGCGTGGAACAAAAGTAAGTACAAATGATGATTTTTTTTTTTTTGGTCTCGCATCTCTGAAGCCTTTCTCCATGTCCAGTCTGGGTTAATTTTGCAGTTTTAGGTCATGTATTCCCTCAGTCATGCAATTTAATGCATTCAATCTGTGGGAAGCATCGTCGATGTGAGAGCAATAAACAGGCATCTCCTCAATGTACGTGTCGGCTCTCTTCTGGAATCTCTTCCCCGAATCCTGTGCTGCCTCTGTTCTGCGGAGCCTTCCCTGTCTTGTGGGCACTGGGGAAAAGAGCAGTGCCGAGAGGTTACACGTGGTGTGACTGTATCGGTGACAGGCTTGACGTCATGGCTCAGGGCTGGAGAAAATTCAGCTAAAAAGGTTGTGGCTCAAAATAGTTGACTGTGATGGAAAAAGCTGTGCAAAATTAATTGAAAATAAAGATGATACTAAGCCCACTAAGCTCTCAAAGCCTGTTAGCCTTATATCCAAATGTGTGGATTGTCGCACCCAAACCCAGCAGGATTGTGCTGATTCGGAATGGCACTCAGGGTCTGCCCTCTGTGTTTTGCAGATGATGGAAGTGAGCACGGATTTAATATGTGCTTGACAGAGTGTCATTCTAGACCACAGCTCTTCCCAGCACTGTGCACTCTTGCTGCAGCTTTGCCGCAGCCTGACCTGTCTGATTTGGGGTTTAGAAGAACAGGAGCTATAGAGGTTTGAGGTTTTTTGAGATTTTTTTTTTTTCCCCCAAGTTGATTGTCCTGATTTGGAAGTTAAGAGAAAAAATTATGCTAGGGTGTTTCTTGTTTTATTTTGTTTTCTGGGGATTTTGTTAGTTTGTTTGGGTTTTGTTTCGGTTTTTTGGTTTGGTTTTTTTTTTTTTGCTTGTGGCCAAGAATCCTCCCTATTGCTGTTCTGTAGTGGTTGGCTTCAAAGGCATGGAATGGAAAGAAATTGCTTTTAGTAAGCAAAAATAGAAGAGTGTTCCAGGAGGCTTGCAGCGGAGTGACATGACCTTGTGGTGTAAAGAGCATGTGCAAAACAGCACTTAACTATGCAGAATACTTAGTTCTATGTCAAGAAGTGCCTGCAGCATTATAAAGCACCCTCAAACCTGGTTACACTGTTCTGATTGCAAAGTAGCTTTATTTGGATAACTCTCCTGGAGCTAAAAAGGATTTAGGTCGCGGGAGAGATGAGGTGCTGGTAGGAAAGGGCTGAGACAGGAGACGATGAAAGTAGGGGGTCGGACAGTGTTATTTTTAAAGAAAGGCTTCCTAAGTTGTCATTGGTCTGTGCTGTTACAGTCTTGCTAAAAAGCTCTTGTCTCCTTCGTTCCTTAGCAGTTCTTTCTCAGAAGGTGGACATGGGAGGTGCTGTGTCCACTGATGCAGAGTTCCACGACCCGTGGGCTCCTGACAACAGAAATGTCTCTGAAAACGGTCGCGTATCCCTGGCTGTCTGCAGCAGGAGAGTGAAATCGGGGCCGTCCGGGAGAGAGGAAAGGGGTAGGACGGTAGG